CTCCTCTTTGTGCTCTCATTGACTGCATCCTATCACTCTGATTCAGAAAGAGCAGCAGACGCATTCACCATCGTACTGAATAAAAGATGAAGTGGGGTCTTAGCAGCAAATATTGTGCAGCCATTCAGAAGTTCAGTGTTCATATTCTTTTAGCGTCAAAGTGCTAAAACCAGTAAGCACGTCAATGAAAAACGCCTTCAATTAAAGCCCTCTTCCAAGGAAACCTTTTGAAAAAAATAAATAAATGAAAAAATCAGGTTGTTATAAAAAAAAGAGATTGAGAAAACCTACTTATTATGTTCTCTCCCTATGCTTTCACGTGTTTATGTAAGAAGGCATGGCATTCTTGTTTCTTTTCATTTCTAAAGAACAACACAGAAATGCATTTTCTCATAAGCCGTAACGGAGAAGTGACTGTGACCTGGAGCAGCAGCATGCGGGTCGCTTTGGCCTCCCAGGGCCTCTGAGTGGTCTGTGTGACAGCGGAGACCTCATCATTGGTGCAGTCTGTACCCCTCCACTTCTGCAGCTGACCATATGCAGGCTGACTGACATCCAGCAATGAGTCAACCTGAAGCAAAAGGAGACTAATCAGCTATGGTTCATGTTGCCTTCACAATTATTTTGTGATCATCCAGTAGCTTTTTTTTCACATTGTACTTTTTGGTTAAGAGGCCGAGTTTAATTTTTTTGCCTGTACTGTAATGGATGAAAATTCGATTAACCCTCCATACCTGACTATCAGGAAAAATATTAAATTATACCTAGTCTAGGAACTATCATTTTGGACGCTTTTGAACTTGTGGTTCTGGGATTCTAAGCCATTTTTAATGTAAGAAATGTATTCAGGGTGTATTTAGTTTTCCACAAATTTCCCTAATTTGGTTCAATATTTGCTTGAGAAAGACAGAAAAGGTTGGATCTGAGATGTGTATTTCTGTACACTTGGGTTGGTGTTTAAATAATTTCGGAACCAGATGCACTGCAAATCAACAGATAGTGCGCTTCTTCTTTTTTTTTTTTGTAACAGTTTTTGCTTAAAATAGTACATCAAATGAACACAGAAGTCAATCATAGGCAGAAGTGTGCGGTATGAAGGCATTTTCCTCTGGGGAGTCCAAAGTACTTTCCAAAGAAATAATAATTTTAAAAAACTTCAAGTGTTTTCTGACACAATGCTGTTTTCTGCATTTAAGGAACTTGTACCCCTTTTTCATAATGTTTTCATTTATAATGAATTCAACAAGGCTTATTGTTTGACTTTATTTCCTGAGTTTCCATATTTATTTGAGATTATAAGCAAAAACATATAGCCAAAGCTGAGGAGGGAAAGGATTGGGACTGAGATTATAACCCGCACTAAAATATATTTGATTTTATTTTTACCATTTTGGTCTTCAATAATCTAGTTTTCACATTTTATTTTTTTCAGGAAATGTACCTAATATGATGAAACAAGGCAGCAACACCGGTTATATAATTGCTCATCTTTTTCTCAACCGGTCTGCGTGCTGTCTAGCTAAAATCTGATTTATCTTAATTTGCTGATATTTATGCCACACAAAGCATCCATACTCATAATAATTCATAGTTCTGCAGTCATACTGGGTCACGTTGGCAATATGAATATGTACTTACCTGAAACCATGTTTATTTTCGCTGTAATGAGTATTTTAAAATGAAGCATTCTATTGTTTTATTAGATTAGGCCTCAAGTGGTTTTCATAAAAAACTACAGTTGTCGTCAGATAAGGAACAGCTTAAAATATTGTAGATCTCTTTTTAAACACAAAATGTTGTTTCATCATCTTTTTTTTTTTAAATATAGTTTTAGGTTTTTGGTCAGACTTCCGCAATCCCAAGCGAAAGAGAAAATAATGCATTTAAGAAAAAAAAACAAAACAAAACAAAACAAAAAAAAAAACACAGCACCTGGACACAAAAGGTGCCATTGAGTTCTGTCTTCTGGGCCTGAGCGAGCCCTTCAGGGAGAACCGGGTGATCCAGGTCTCTCAGATCTGTCAGCAGCCACTGATCCAAGACCTAAAATTGAGCATCAAACAGATAGTTTTAAGTGACACTCGTACCAAATCTCTTAATTTCACACAGACGATTGACCGTGGAATTATTGTTCATTGTCAGATGGCTAATCAAAACTGGCCCTATGGGAGGTCAAATGATGCATGTTGAAAAGTCTGAGTTAAAGTCTGAGTTAGTCAAAGCAATGATTTAACAGAAATATTAGCCTCGTCACGGGGTGTTTGAGGTGCATTGACTCAGTAGCGTGATCAAATCCCTGCAGCTTATTCATTTCTTACCAATGACTGCACAAGTACGTGTGCGTCAAAAAAAATAAAATAAAATTAAAAAAAATAAATAAATAAGTGCTCTGGAATGATTGGCATCTGGGAACCATGTGGGCTACCTTAATAAACTGATAACATGGTCGTCCTGGAACCATAACGAGACTATGTGCCCTCCACCCCCCGAAAAATTAAGCAATATCTTCGACAAGTATCTGAAAAGAGATAGACTTTGGCCCTGGAAGGACACAGCTGCTCAGTAGCAATATTTCAGTCCACTGTGGCGTATGAGAGATGCGTCAGTGCAAGAAAACATACCCCACATGACGCCACCACCAGCTGGTACAGCTGACACCCGGCATGATGGATACGTGCTGTTTACACTAAAATTCTTCTCCGCTATCTGTTGCAACAGAAACCAGGGATTTTCAGACGAGGAGGTGTCATTTTATTCCACATGATCGGCACATACCGAGATTTGATCTTATTGTTCTCGGTTGTAACTATTAAGTAATTATGGTAATGGGCTTTCAAAGTTAAAGCAAAAATGCTTTCAGTTGGGAAATGGAACATTCACATTTTTTTCTAAAAATTCTCATTTGCAAATTGAAAAAAACAACAAAAAAAACTACTAAAGCTGCATAATATTATAAAAACAAGCACACTGTTAATACGAAATATTTCAATGATGATGCCATTTTCCATCACCATCACGTCCCTTACACTCTCCGTGAGTTTTAGCTAGAGATGAACTGAGGTTTGTGGTCAATTACTGATCTGTTTTTTGCAAAGCTTGAATGTACAAATTACAATTTCAAAAGATTATGTTTTTTTCTTAATTAACTATAAAATAAGATAATTTTTTTTTTTTTTTACATATTTTCCATGGTCTTCCGGGCCTAGGTAGGTGAAGTTAGCATTCTAAAAAGCAGCAGTATTCATGTATATTCCAAAGAAGGTAGCATTTTGCTAACTGGGAGTTTTCTAAATGATTGCCAACATTACATTCCATTACATTATGTGCCAAACCAGAGGTTAAAAAGTTCAAAAGGATAAAACAGGACCAGTTTTGTAGTTCTCCGTTTACCCTTCCCATTATTTGCAAAATGTCTCTCTCTCTCTCGGACTAACCCACAGCACTAAACAATTAATAGTTTCCTTTAAAACAGTATCTTAGATCTCTGCTTTCTCCCCCTTTATTGTAAACATCTCACTGATTATTAAAGTATCTAACTCTCCCCCTCCTCCTTTGTAGTACATCATACTGGTAGTTTTGTATGATGCTTAATATCAGAAAAAGTCAGGTCAGGTCCAATCAAGTCCCATTCAACTCACCAGCTGATTTCTTGATGCATATCTATGGGAATAAAAGTAAATAACCAGATAGTGCTGCCTAAATAGATACATTAGACAGGACACAAATGCACATTAATTGTGTTAAAAGCAATTGTTTTAGCACCAATTGTGCCCAGTTCAGGATGAGAAGAATACAGATTTGAGAGCTATTCAGTCTAGCTTTATTTTTCATTCCTAATAGCAATATTTGCCCTTTTTTTAATATAGTCTATTCACCCCCAAGTCTAGTATGACTTGGGGGTGGGGGAAATTACATTTGACGCCAAGATTTAAACTATGCATTTCTGGCCCATTCTGAATGCTGTGTAAAAACAAATGGATGTTTTCCAAGTAGAGCAATTGTGTGACCTGAAGAGACAGTAAGAAAGAAGGAGACAGAAACAGTACTGAAATGAATGTTTTGATGTGATTTGTCAGACCAGAGTGTGATGACCTGGCTGTACCTACCTGCTGATTGATTTGCTGCTGAGACAGATGATCTGCTCCTCCAGTCTCTCCTTGAATCCACTCAACGCAGGCTTCAAGCCAGGCAAAGGGAACCTGTACATGGCGAGAGGACTGCAGCCAGGCCTGAGTAGCCCGTACTACTGACGGTGTCTCTGGGGCCATCCTCCTCTACTTTCTCTGCAGTTTATATTGCAGCTATTTTCTGCAAGTATTCTATTATCTGGAATTACATACAGACAACTTTTAAACTTTGTTATGTCAGCCGTCTTTAATTTAGAATTATCACCATTTAGTTGATTTTCTTAACTTCAGGATGTAATTATACAACGGATACAAATCCATTGTCATAGGAGTGTGAGAGGTATGGGTCCATTAGAACCTATCATATTAAGTATGCCTAATATGAACGTGTAGCGTGGATATAATCTGAAGAAGAAGAAAAAAAGAAGAGGCATCAAAAACAAGAGCAATTATATACTGTGATTAAGAAAAGTATGCATGTTCAAGTAATTGTTGCGTAAAGTTACCTACGCAGAAAATGAAAGCGTTACATCCACAAGGCGAGCTAGTATGAAACGAAGGCGCCAAAGTTGACTAAACAAAACATCAGTTAGCAGGACCGAGGGAATAGCTGTTCATGGCCACAGAACATCCGGAGCACAACGATTTCCCAATAAAACATTACAAGCCTACTTTAAGAGAAGTTATAACAACAAGCAAATTACTATCAGGCTGACAGGTAAATTATTTTTTACCTACGGGATAAACTAGAAATACAGCTTTGCATATCCACATCCGGAAATAAGGCGTTAGAAACGTCCCTCTTCACATGATTGGCAATATTTCCACACAATGGCAGTCGTCGTACCGTTGACGTGCTTTCCATTCAGCCAATCAGGACACAGTACATCGAGTTGTTCGCTTCCAGGCTCGGAAGAGAAGGAAGGAAGGAAGGAAGCAAGCGAGGTGATAACGCTGCAGGTTTGTGTTTTTTGGCGATATTTTCAGCTTTTTTCCGAGCACCGTTGGTTAAACATAATTGGTATGCATACTTAAAACTACGAGAAAGTACGTTTTATGCGTGTTGTTGTTTCATCTGTGTCCGGTGCCTTAAAAGTTGGCCTACCTAGCTACGGTTGCGCTCTGCCTTGGCAACATGGCGAAACTAGCTAGCTTTTAGCTCGAATCGTTACTGTTGGTCTTTGTACTGAACATAGTTCTAACTGGAGTTGCCAGCTGAAATTTAGATCTATAAGTTGTCTCAAAATGGTATGCTCGTAGTAGTTAAGGGCTACTTTATATTAAACTTTGAATTCAAATACGGGGAAATGGCTCGCTAAGCTAATGCGTGGCTCCGTAAGCTTAAGCAACGGCTGCCATTTAGCACGACGAAGCCGGAGTCCGACTACACGGACTAAATTGATACTCACCAAGCTGTTATTTTAGTATTCTATTAACTCAAAGTTATTATAATTTTTACACCGACTAGATCTGATGTATTTCACACGCCTAAAGTCAGTGGAGGGACGCTTTGCATATTTGCCAACCAGGAGGAAGTAAATCATAAACCAACTTCCACGACTTGCCTTCAGTTTAATTTGAACTAATCCAATTCCAATCCAGGACTAATACATAATATATATATATATATATATATATATATATATATATATATATATATATATTTTTAAAAAAAAAAAAAAAAGTGTGTGTCTATCTGTGTGTGTGT